TCACAAGGGAAATTAGTCAAGCACTCTGAAAGTGTTTCCACTCTTAATGTGGTGTACGGGGAGATATCAGAATAAGTTTAATCACTTTATCAGTCGTTGTTTGCATCACTGTTGTTTTTATATCATGTTTTTGTTGTTTTATATCATGTTTTTGTTGTTTTCATATCATGTTTTTGTTGTTTTTATATCATGCCTCTGTTGTATCCTTTTGTAACTGTTTATTTATTAATAAATTTATATATTATTTCATATACATTTTACTAATTTCCTTTCATCTCTCACACTTCTATTATAGAGAAAGGGCAAATAGCAATATTAAAATATTTCCTCTAATTAATTCCCTTTTAATGTGCACAAATTTCGTGCACCAGGCCACTAGTATGCTACATAATAAGGCAGGCCTGCTCACGGGGGTGGGGGACTAGGAAATAATGTATAGGAACTTCTTGATTTCATCGTACAAGACAAGTACAAAAGCACCACCCATGCCTCTGAGAATACTAGACGACGCATCCTTGTAAAAGCTTTGCCTCCTTAGTCAGGAGCAATCTTCCTCCAGCAGCCCAGCACTCTGTGAACATGACATTAGTTCCTCCCTGCTGACTGCATCATCAGGCCGCAAGGAACCTTATGAAACAGAGATGAAGTCACCCCTGCCATCACCAGGGCAGGACTGTGCAGTGACCAGCTGAGGAAGACGTGCGCATTCTGGAGATCTGAAGCATTTCCTTTGCAGTGCCACAGGTGCCGAAGCAGGCAGCTCGGTGAGTGACAGTACCCTACAGTCACCCTGAAGCTCTGTACAACCCTTAATCTCACTGGATTTGGAGATCTGAAACAGGCAGTCACCAGAGACTCTGACTTCCCTCTCACTCCAGCTTTGCCCACATCAGCTGCTAGACCAGTACGGGCAAAATCAAGGTACACAAAACACAAAGGGAGGAGGGGGGAGCCCAGTGGCACCACCTGATGCCGATTCCCTGCAAGTAGCTCCAGAATTGGGTTCTCGTGTCCACAGCCCCCAGGACAATGTGCTTGTATTTATCTTCGGAGACAAAATTGAGAGCCCGAGCGGGGAAGGATCTATTACCAGCCAGAAGTACAAGGCTCCCTGCTCCCTGGGGATGGGACCCAGGTAGCCTACAATGCCCTGGCATTTGCTTATCTGCCGGGACTTGCTGACAGGGTGCAACTGCAGCCACAGCTCCACCCACTCCGTGGGGGATACCACCGGCTGGGAGATGGCCACAGCTGCTCCACCCGACAGGAAGTCCTTAATAAAGAACACAGCGCATCTATGATACTGAAAGGAGAGAAGCGGGAAACTGTAGGACTGGGCTTGTAACCAGCTGGGGACTCTAGTTGGCTGTATACTCTTAATGAAAGTTAGTGTAAGAAGAGAAGTATTGTAGAAAAATTGAAATTTTTACATAATAATTTTGTTACTGGAGACTTCGGTATAGTTTATTCTAAAACTTTTTTATGTGTATTGCAAGATAGAGTAAATGAATAAATATATTGATATCTATTGCTAAGGTGGAGGATTCTCACTTTGGGAGAAAGGAGATACACAGATGAAACAGGAAAAAGAAAAAACCCTGTGGTATTGAGTTAGAACTGATGGAAGGGAGCAGAGGAGGAAGGGAAGGAGTAGGGAGTTGAGGGAAGGGGGAGGCAGGAAGGAAGAAGGGGGAGAAAGGAGGGAAGGAGGGAGTGAGGGAGGAATGAAAAGAGGGGAAAAAAGAAACTGAACCGTGTTTCCCATCTCTGTCCACTTAAAGGGCCTAGAAGTCATGATACTCCAGTAGCAAGACCATGCCAAGCATTCAGATATGAGCTGGGGCAGGGAAAGGACATGAACCTGGAATATGTTACTGTGTCAAACTGAGGAAGTGCTCAAAAGAAAGGACCTGAGAGGCAGGTTAAAGGCACCCCACTGTCCAAATGTAAGACAATTTAGCATCAAAAAGAAAAATGAAAATAATACATCAGATTTAAAGAGAATCCAGGGGTTAAAAGTGATACTAATAAATGTGGTGTCCTTTACAAATGAATGCCAAGTAATAAATGTACGAGGAATAATAACTAGAAAACCAGCATTTTGCATCCACAAGCAAAAAAATCACCCAGCAAAAATCATCAATTGATCTAAAATCATAGGATGAAATTCTATTGGGGAACAGGATATTCATATGGTCTCAAAATATCAATATATAGTGTCTACTACGAGAAAAAGATAACTGTTACAATGTACAGCAAGCATGTCAAACTCATGGCCCACAGGCTGCATGCAGCCCACAATGAATATTTTTGCAACCCAGCCAATATGAAGGTATGTAAGAAATGTTTTAATAAAAATTTTGTAACTTAATTTACAATATCCTGTTATACATAATTATTAATAACGAACTACAACATTCGCTAATGACTGATTATTATAATCGTGGTGCATTCATTTCCTTTACGCGCCTTATGTGCCTTATGCGCAGGCGCACCATTTCTCTCCACTAATACTAGCAGTGAATATTTTTAGCAGCCGATTGCCACATCAGTAGTCTTGTACTGATTTGTTTGGTGTGCACAACAGGAAATATTTCACTTTCGGAGAACAAGAAAAATAGGTTTATTTGCATTACACTTATTAATTTGTGCAGTTATTCAGTGTCTGGTAAGTTAATGTTCAAGAAAAAATATTAATTTTTCTTAAAATGTTCTATTGTTTTATGTTAAGGATTACTCATTTATTTCAGCCCTTTGTATTCAGCATGTCTCTATCAAAATAAGCCTACGTTTCTATGAAAATTGAAGCTTTTGTTTTCTTGCCATCCACATAAACTTAAACCTTGTTTATTTGGCCGGTGATAGCCTTTGAGTTTGACATCTTTTTTTTTTAATTAAATCTTTATTGTTCAGATTACATTTGTTCCTCTTCCCCCCCGCCCACCAACTCCCCTCCTCCCAGTTCTCGCCCCATTTTCCACCCTCACTCCCCACCCACTGTCCTCATCCATAGGTGCACGATTTTTGTCCAGTCTCTTCCCGCATCTCCCACTCCCCTTTCCCCCCCAAGAATAGTCAGTCCATTCCCTTTCTATGTCCCTGATTCATTATAATCACCAGTTCATTCTGTACATCAGATTATTTATTCACTTGATTCTTAGATTCACTTGTTGATAGATGCATGTTTGTTGTTCACAATTTGTATCTTTACCTTTTTCTTCTTCCTCCTCTTAAAGGATACCTTTCAGCATTTCATATAATACTGGTTTAGTGGTGATGAACTCCTTTAGCTTTTCCTTATCTGTGAAGCTCTTTATCTGACCTTCAATTCTGAATGATAGCTTTGCTGGATAAAGTAATCTTGGTTGTAGGTTCTTGCTATTCATCACTTTGAATATTTCTTGCCACTCCCTTCTGGCCTGCAAAGTTTCTGTTGAGAAATCAGCTGACAGTCGTATGGGTATTCCCTTGTAGGTAATTGAGTCTCTTTCTCTTGCTGCTTTTAAGATTCTCTCTTTGTCTTTTGCTCTTGGCATTTTAATTATGATATGTCTTGGTGTGGTCCTCTTTGGATTCCTTTTGTTTGGGGTTCTCTGCGCTTCTTGGACCTGTAAGTCCATTTCTTTCACCAGGTGGGGGAAGTTTTCTGCCATTATTTCTTCAAATAGGTTTTCAATATCTTGCTGTCTCTCATCTTCTGGCACCCCAATTATTCTGATGTTTGTACGCTTGAAGCTGTCCCAGAGGCTCCTTACACTATCTTCATATTTTCGGATTCTTTTTTCATTTTGCTTTTCCGGTTGGGTGTTTTTTGCTTCTTCGCATTTCAAATCTTTGACTTGATTCTTGCGCTCCTCTGGTCTGCTATTGGGTGTCTGTATAATATTCTTTATTTCAGTCCGTGTATGCTTAATTTCTAGTTGGTTCTTTATCATAGCATCGAGGGTCTCATTAGTTTTCGTGACTCTCTCCTCAAGTTTATTGACAGCTTCTAGCACATTTTTGCAAGCCCTCAAAATTGCGATTTTTAGCTCTATATCCTCCATTTCTGTCATGTTTTTTTGTCTCCGCATTTTTTATGCTTTCTTGGTGCACCCCCTAGTGGTCTTTGTGCGCAGTCTTGTTCTAGTTGAGCCTTGATTGTTGTAGTTAATACTAGAGGGATTTGACCACCAGGCCGACTGGCTGTGTGAATCAGCTGTGTCTGCCGCGGAAAACTTCTGTCCTCTGGGGAGGTGCTAATCTAGCCTTTGCCTGAGGCGATCCGGCAAATGGCTCTGCGCAGGGCTTGGGCGGGGCGGGCTCAACAGGGCGGGCGGAGGGAGCGGTTATGGCTGCCCTCAGTCCCGTTCCCAGAGGCTCTGCTTCTCAGAACCCCAGGAACCGCTGCAAACCTCGGAGAGAAAGCTGCCTTCCAACTGATGCCAGACACTCCCGCTTCTCCCGTTTGGGTCCGAGTCCCCAGCGATTCGCCCGTATCTGGAGCTCAGAGTCTGAGACTCCCCCCTGACCGAAAACGACAACCGCGCTCTCAGCCACCAGCCCGCTTTGCGCGCGCACCTCCGCACCTGAGTATTTTCCACCGTTCCGTCTTTAGTTGTATTTTTGAATTGGGTGTTCGAGGCAGCAAACTCCGGCGTTAACCTATGCCGCCATCTTGGTTCCTTGAGTTTGACATCTTGATGTACAGAGATGCAGACTCCACCCTAAGTGATCAAACAGTGTAACCCAGCGGTTCTCAACCTGTGGGTCGCGACCCCTTTGGCAGTCGAACGACCCTTTCACAGGGGTCGCCTAAGACCATCCTGCATATCAGATATTTACATTACGATTCATAACAGTAGCAACATTACAGTTATGAAGTAGCAACGAAAATAATTTTATGGTTGGGTCACAACATGAGGAACTGTATTTAAAGGGCCAGAAGGTTGAGAACCACTGGTGTAACCAATAACAGAGCAAACCGGTATTGCTTGCTCCTGATGTGATGCAAGTGATGCAACGTAGTATTCCTGCCCAAAGTATTCGACCTGAATTCCGTCATGAGAAAACAACAAGGAAAATCTAGAATAAAGGCCTAAAATACAAGAAAAATAACTAGACTCTTCTAAGACGGCATTCCTGAAAGCCCTCCAAAAATACAACAACAGAACAAGGAAAGCTGGAGAGCAGAGCTGAAGATTAGAAGAGACTAAGGCAGTGGTTCTCAACCTTCTGGCCCTTTAAATACAGTTCCTCATGTTGTGACCCAACCATAAAATTATTTTCGTTGCTACTTCATAACTGTAATGGTGCTACTGTTATGAATCATAATGTAAATATCTGATATGCAGGATGGTCTTAGGCGACCCCTGTGAAAGGGTCGTTCGACTGCCAAAGGGGTCGCGACCCACAGGTTGAGAACCACTGGACTAAGGGGACAGGACAACCTGACTGGATCCTAGGACAGAAGAATTTGAATATGGATTGTGGTTTAAATAACAGTACTTTATCAACATTAACCACCCAGGGAATCACATACACATACTTTTCCAGAAGTTCGGGGACACAGATAATTAGCATACCTTTGATGGATTAATTACAATATTTCTGGCTGAGCCATGTTCGTCTCCCGTAAAGGCCGGCTGATTGCTGAAGCCTTGCTTTACATTCACAGCAGTGAGTTCATCCTGGTCAAGAAAAGGTATTGATTAATGAGAAGGATGTAAAAGCTCGAACTTAACCCCTCCTACTACAGCCTAGCGACTAACTTTGCTGTACTCTGAAGAGAACTGTTGAATGCACACCAAAAGAAGCAAAAATTAAAGTTTAAAAACCAATATATAAATGTGTAGAAAGAGATCAAGTGAACGTGGCAAAATGTTGACAATTATAGACTCTAGCTGTATGGTACATGGGTGTTCCTTATACTATTCTTTTAACTTTTCTGTAAGTTTGAAAATTTTTAACCAATTAAGTTGGGAGAAGGTAATGAGCAAAAATTCCCCCCACACAAACACATACATCATAGGATTTTCAAACGAGAATTGTTTCTAGAGAACATAGTTTGAGTCTTCCTTTCTTGCCAGCCCCTAGACACACCCCTATTTTATATTCAAGAACACCGACTCACTCAACTAACCCAAAACCCCACAGCAAGCTAAAGACAGAAATGAAAGGTTCTTAGGCACAGCTCTATGATAACCACACAACACAATGACCTGCAACTAAAGGAATGTTTGGAACTTGCAAAGTTCTCTCATACATCTTGGCTCACTTGATCTTACCAATTCTGTGGCAGACAGCAGGTGTGGGTCTTCATGCCTATTTACAGGTGAGAAGAGTGAGGTTCACTAAGCTAGTGCCAACACTGGAATACTGCCTTTCAATCCTAGACTAGGAAGATAACTTTCCCTGACACCATTCCACGAAGTATAAATGCCACATAAAAATGTGGTCTAAAAATACAGAGCTACCACTTGTACTCTCCTTAAAAAGATCTCTTCCTGGTAGACACAGGAACTTTTCTTCCCAAGGTCACACACATCAAAACTAGCCCAGGCTGCAAAAACGAAAACCTTGCCCCTGCCACATCACTGCGTTATAGAGTTCCTAAAACACACACTGAAAGTATAAAAGGGAAAGGTTTGAGTAAATGAAGCTACTTTCTGCTCCCCTCACTCCAAGCCAAGAAATGGTCTTAGTAACCAACAGGGTAATGCTGTCCACAGCACAAGAATGAGAATATATACTTATTCCTCAAAAGTAATTGCTCCAAGTGTAAAATGAAAAAAAAAAAAATCAGGTGACCAAAATCACCACTGTGGTTAGGCAGGAAGCTTCAGAACAAAATAGTTCATAACTATTCATAGCATGTGAACTGAGATGAAAACTGAAGTGTCCCCGAGACCTGCCACGTTACCTAACTGTGTGTGCTCTACCTAATACTTCAGTGAGCCACTGCTCTGGTGAGTTTTCAAAAGAGCCTGCTACAGGAAATGCAGCTCTGTGACAACCAAGTATCCTCCAAGCACATGAGGTGACTGGAGTAACAATCTGCACAGAAAATGACTGCACTCACATCAGAAGACACCTCAAACTGACTACACATTTTCAAGTCAATTATTTGAAAATCTAGGGTCAAACTACATGACGATTTCAGTAGTCTCAGAGTCTAAGAATGAAGGGGCACAAATGAGATCATGAGAGAAAAGGGATGGGAAAATTGAATCTTATCTTTCTTTTACCATCACATTATTACAAGAAACTTTAATTGAGTAACAGCATATGTTTTTAATAAAAAATATGTCTGGCTTAATCAAGAGGAGATGTGTGAGGCTTAAGGACCAGATAGTTTCATTTAGTGCTGCTTAACTTTCTATTCTCAACTAGCACCAGCTCAGTTAGCTGCCTGTTGTATGTGACTGCTAACCACTGGCCTGGAGAGACATGCCCTGTATGCATGCACACACAAAGCCCCAGAAGGAAAAGCATGGAACCATGATTAGATCTCTCTCAACCACATCAGATTTTCCTCAAACAAGGATTCACACAGGTGCTACTGGAAGCCTTGAATCCTGAGAACTTTTTAATCTGGTATTCTAAATTGCACCAAAATGCATCCAGAATCTGCCCACTAGTCACTACCACCTCAGGCCAGGACCACCACCAGAATCTCAGGCTTGGACATTGCAGTAGCTCCTAACCTTGGATCTATCTGGTCTCCCCGCTGCTTCCACCCTTGCCCCCTGCAGACCATTTTCAACACAGCAGCCACATGGTTCTTAAAACATGAGAGCATGTCACTCCTGCTCAAAATCTGCCTTAACTCCCCAACTCAGAGTATAAGCAAAGGTCCTAAGATGGCCTACAAGCCCCTATGTGATCTGGTCCCTATTACCTTTCTGAGCTCATTCCTACACACTTCCCCTTTGCTCACTCTACTCCAGCCATGCGGTTCTCATTGCAGTTTCTTCCTCCAAAATGCCAGGTGAATGGGCCATTGCACTGTCTGTTCCTGTGCCTGGACTGCTCTTTCTCATGGGATCCACATGGGCAACTCCATCACCACCTTAAGTCTTTGCTCAAATTTCACATTCTCAGTGAGAAATTCTGATGACCCTATTTAAAACTAGAACTGCTCACCCTACTCCCTTCATACCAACACCCCTAATCTTCCAATAATCCATAGCACTCATCACCTAAAACACCATGTAACTGACTTACAAGTATTGTCTGTTTTCCCTACCAGAAGGTAAGCCCCATGGGGCCAAGGATCTTTATTTTATTCAGATTCATGCCAAGCACATAAAGCTGTGCCTGGCACACAGCACACACAGGCTTTCAACAATCGTTGAAAGAACAAATAAGTGAATGATAAATCTGTTTGAATACTTAACATAATAAGTATATTCTGAATCACTACTCCATCCATGACTTTGGGGTCTGTAATTGTCCAATTAATTTAACAAGGAGGTCATTAGAGTGAGGTGGCTCTAATGTCCTGGCACCTACATAAGAAAACCAAACTAAGCCTCTAAATGCCTCAATGTTACAAAAGCAGAACCTAAGGATGGGCCATCACAAACAGCCAACTAGGATTTAAACTACAGACAATCAATCATTTTTTTACTTTGCTTCTACCTTTTCTTTATAAAGGTTTTTTCTCAGCTCCAGACAATGGAGCACTTCTAACCACTTCTGGTTTGGTGCTGCCTGATTTAAATTGAGTTTTGCTCAAAGAAACTCCTGAAGTTGTAATATGCCTCAGTTTATCTTTCAACTGTTCTGATGTCAGACATGGGACCCAAAGGAGACCTTCAACAGTCCCCAGGAACAAGAAGCAGCCAGGTAAGGTTGCCCACTGAGTCCGCCTAGCTCAAGGCTTTCTCCCTGCATCTGGAGTGTGCAGGTATCTGTGATCCAAAACTTTTGCATTTAAAAGAGCTCTCCAAATTTACCTAAGCATTTCTTTCATCAGACTGGTTCTGAGGCCAGCCAATTTAACAGAAACTGGACTGGATCCAACTTAGAACCCAGATTGGTTCTGAGGTCTTCCTGGGTCCAACTTAAGATGGACTGGGTCCAGGGTAAGGCCTCAAGTATCAAGAATGACAAAAAGAGAAAAATTTATCTCTCTGGCTCCACATAATCTGGAACTCCTCCATCTGGGATGCCAGCAACTACATGTATAAAAATTGGTCCCAGATACTGTATTTTCTGAATCAGTGGGTTAACCTTACCAAAGATAATCTGGAATTATCTTGGCCAAGTAGGGAACTTTTAACCTAGACAGGCTTATCCATTCACAAGATACTCTAGAAAAAAAAAGGGTCAAATTTCCCCACAAAAAAAAAAAAAAAAAAAACAAAAAAAAAACAGGATGCATTTTTATTGGTATGCAGCAGCTTATAAGAAACTAAATGAATCAAAAATGCCCTGGATTCCAAAATAGCAGCAGAGTAAGTGAAAACTACACTGTCACTCTCCCAGGACCAAACTGGAAATGTAACTAAAATACAGAAATACCACCCTAAAATATCAACTGAAGACTAGCTGGAGAGAACCCTGATAACCAAGGACAGAAAGTGGAGACCACATAGCCTCTAGTAGGAAGTGCAAAGGTGCAAAGAGGCTGGCCAGGCTCCCATAGATAGGAGCTGAAGTTCTGAAGGGATACCTCAGCTATTCACCTGTGGGGGATTAGACCTCAAGCTGAGTTCCCAGCTCAGAACACCAGAACTGAGAAAGGTGCCCACATAGCATTTACCTATGAAAAGCCAAAGGGTTGCTATCTGCCAGGGAGGGACGGCTGGAAATGCAGGCACCCTTTTAAAGGGCCAACACAAAAAATTTTGTGTGCAACTACTCACCTTGGGCTCTGGCAGAAGGAGGGCAGAGTGGACTGGAGCTGTGTGAGCACAAGCCAAAATTGGAGGTTCTGGGGTTGGAGCTTGGAAGGCAGCCACCCCCCAGTTTCTGGTGCTATGTCATTCCCTCACATTGTGCAGGAAATCTTTCTCCCATGAACCTTTGCTATGCAAGGGGGTTATGCCTGAGGGGAAGTCAGCTGACCCACCCTATTCGAAGACCTCTTGGTTCATAGCCTGAGCCTAATCAAGACTAAATCTCAATAGGACTGCAGGCAGAGTAGGACCTCTGGAAGCTTTGAGTCTTTGCCTTATCTAATCCAGGGCCAGGGCCTAGGAAAAGCAGACCCTGGTGCACATCTTGGTCCTTTCCAAAGGCAAAAAGAACAAGTAGAGGGAGGTACAAGCTATGGATTGCTGATAGCTCCAAAAGGGTATTCAAGGCCAGTCACAAACAGGGTCTGACATTGTCCTGCACTAGAGATTGGGAAGAGTAGCAGATCCACCTAATACACAGACACAAACCCAAACAGGAAGACAAAATGGGGAGCCAAAAAAAAAAAAAGTCCCAAATGAAAACAAGAGAATTCTCCAGGAGAAGAGCTAAATGAAATGGAGATAAGTAATTTATCAGACATAGCGTTTAGAATAATGATGGCAAAGATGCTCAAGAGCATAAGAAAAGATATGTAACTATGAAGAATGCCATAGCACTAATAAAGAACACAGTGGAAAGAATACACAGCAGATTAGGGGAAGCTGAGTACCAGATTAGTGAATTAGAAGATAGGGCAGAAAAAAATAACTCAATCATGACCAGC